GGCCAGGCCCTTCGGTGAGAGCAGGGTGGTGGGTCCTGCCCCCCCCCCCCACCTCTGTGCTTGGGCGCTCCTCTAGGTGCTGTTGGAAAGAAAGAAGGGGTGGGGCCGCGCCCCTGGCCGTATTCTCTTCCAGGAAGGCCCAGCTCTGAGCACAAGTGACCCTGGATGCGGCCGCCCTTAAAGGGAGAGACACAGGGCCATGCTACTGTCTGCTGTGTGTCCCCCAAATTCATGCAGAACCCGACCCCCGAGCTGGTCAGGCTGGGCTCCTGGCGGAGAGGCTGTTGGGAGGTGGGCCTTTGGGGGCTCCGGGAGCCCCTGGCCCTCGTCCGAGGCTGGCGGTCTGTGGACCAGGAAGCTCAGCGTGGGCCTGGGCCAGGGCTTGCAGCCTCCAGACTGAGAAGTGAATGTCTGTTGCTCCTGAGCCCCCATCACAGCAGCCTGACGAACGAAGACCAGGTGACCCCCCATTCAACTGTGTGTGGGTGTGGTGCTGGGGAGAAGGGCAGTGTCCTCCTCCAGCTGACCCCCAGGGACCTGAGGTCAAAACTGAGGAAGGGTTTGGGCCCTGAGGGCCTTTCTGGCCGGAGCAGGCACGCAGCCGGGGCCCTGGCGGCTCTCCCCCCGGGTTGCTGGCCTCGGGCTGCTCTCCTCAGAGCCCCGTCCACTCCGGGCTAAGGCTCTGGCTTCCGCTCCCTTATCTCACAGGAAGGGGTGGGTGTGGAGGGAAGCAGACACCTCGCAGAGGCGCCGAACAAGGCCCTTCTTCACACGGGTCAGCCCAGACACTGGCCGTCTGACCTGAATGCGGGCGCCCTTGCCTCTCAGCACCAGGGAATACGGCCAGGGGCGCGGCCCCACCCCTTCTTTCCAACAGCACCTAGAGGAGCGCCGAGCACAGAGGTGGTGGGGGGCAGGACCCACCCTGCTCTGCCCAACTCAGGTGCACAGCCCAGGACTGGAACCTGAGGACAGTGGAAAACACACATGGCACAGGCACACACATGCATGCACACACAGACATATGCAGGCACACATACCCAGGCATGTATACACATGTACATGCACGCACACAGGTGTGTACACGCGGCACCCACACATGGGCGCACACACGTGTGCCCTCCCCCCCCCCCCGTTTCATGGCGGGAGGGGTGTGAGGACCCAGGTCTGCTCTGGCTGCATCAGCTCAGGTGTGGCCTCACGGAGGCAGCGGGGAGCACAGAGGGGTTATTCCAGGACAATGTGAAAACATACAAATAATTTATGTCGCCATGTCTGTCACGGGTTGTTGTGCATAATGAATTCACACCCAGTTTTCCGGGGCTAGAGGTGGCAGGAGGCAGAGCCCCCTGACAGCAGGCAGGAGCCGGGCCTGGAGGAGCCCCATGCATCGTGGGAAATGGTGGAGCAGGTGCCACTGGGCCCTGGGGCCAGGCCGCCTCCTGAGGCCGCTCGGCTGCCCACTGCTGCCGTCCCTGGAGGTCGCAGCCGGGCTGGCTGATGGCTTTCTGTGTAAACATTCACACGCCTCTCAGCCAGGCTGGTGGTTCATGCTCTCAGAAAGCAGAGTGGGGCCCGTGCCCACAGCGGGTGCGGCCAGCGTGCGGCTGATGGGGATATGGCCGTGGACGTTTCAGACCCACCCTGCAGCACTGCCCATGGGGTTCCCGTGGCCTCTCCTATCCTCCCTCCGCATCCCCCATCTTCCTGGGCTCCAGGGCGTCTGTCCCCTCCACAGCCCTGCCTGCGGGGGGACACTGGGGAAGGGCCCTGTGTCCAACTCACAGGGTGCTGGCCCTTTCTGCACCGCGTCCACGTGGGCTTCCGCACTTAGGAGCAAACCCAGCCCACGCTGGGCCTTGGGGTTCAGGCACATGGGCTGCGCCCCGTCCCTGCTGGGTGGCAAGTGACCGGCGTTGGATGGGTCGGGGGTGGAGGAACTCGGCCCCCGACCTGGCGGCTTAGGACGCACAGTAGCGAGTACCCAGGCGCCCTCCTGTGAGGCCCCTCCTGCTGCAGACTGTGTGGGGGCGCTGGCTCCTGGCCCGCAGCAGCCGCCCCAGCACCAGCCGCCATCCCAGGCGCAGTGCGGCCACACACCGAGCCACAGCAACCTGCCAGAGGCCCGTGTGGCACAGTTGCCAGCAGGCCTGGGCATGCTGCCCGCTGGGGCGGGGGAGGGGCCAGCCAGGAGCTGCTGAATCAGCGGCACGGTCTGTCCCTGTGTGTCCCTGCCCCTCCCAGGGAGGATGCAGGATGCTGGTGAGGAAGGAGCTCCTCCTGCTCCTCTTTGGGGAGCTGCTGGGAGGCCTGCCAGCTTGTGGTGTGTGTGTGTGTGTGTGTGTGTGTGTGTGTTTCTGGACGGTGTTCCTGCAGCCAGTGCCCCTGCGTGGAGCCTGGTGCAGGGGGGGCGGGGCAATCCTGGGGGGCGGGGCAGGGGCTAGTGGAGAGGCCCTTTCAAAAGGCACCAACAGGGAGGCAGAACAGGCCTCTGCAGATGGAAGCACGTTCCCTCCCACAAAGTGCCGAGTCAGCACAGGCCCTGCCATCCTCTCCCCTCCTCCAATCACAGGCTGGACGCGGGGACGCTCAAGGTCAGGCACATCAATACCGTGGGCGCCCCATCCTGCGCAGGGACACGGTCACACTCCAGGCCGCCAGCCTCCCGAGGGTGGGGCTGTCCCTCCCCCAGGCTGTCCAGCGGCTGCCACCATTTGGGGGGGGGCAGGGAGGTGGGGGGCATAGGAGCCTGGACAGCACCCAGACTTTCTTAAATAAGCCTGTGGTTTCTAGAAACTTCCAAAGCGTCACCCCATTCTGCGCCACCCCCAGACCCTCACCCCGGCTGCTCATTTCCATCACCGGCCGGCGGCTGGGCTGGCTCAGCTCCTCCCGCCAGACACCGCCAGTACCTCGCCCCAGGGAGCCCCCCTCAGCTCTTGGACTCTGTTCAAGGGACAACTGCTCTCTCTTCCCTGTCCCTTCTCTGCCCAGCCCTGACCTCCGACCCCCAGCCCATACCTCCCTCCCATCTTGAGGTCAGGATGCCTCCTGTTTTCCTGCCCAGCGACTGCCCTCCCCAACGTGAGCATCTTCCTTCTGGGCCTCTCGGCTCCTGTGCCCGACCCCCTCGGCCGCGGCACCCGCTCTCCTGCCACAGCCACTGCTCTCCCCGGGGCCCCGTGGTGTGGCCCGTGCTGCCCACCCTCCGCCCTCCAGGTTGAAGACAGGGCTTCAGTGCACAGCTCCCCACGACCCCAAATCAACAGCCCGTGGTCTCCAGCCACCCGCCTGCAGGTGCTGCCTCCACCAGGTGGCAATGCCAACTCCGGTTGCCTGGGCACTCCCGGGCCTTGGAGTGCCCATCGTCACCCGCCTGCCTGTCCTGCTGTGCACTGGGCAGGTGGTCCTCCTCACCCTCCCAGGTCCCGGATCTCCTGACCACTTCTCTGCCTCAGTGCAGTGGGCCCTTTGGGGGTGAGGAGGAGCAGCAGCTGAGGCCTGGAGGCTCTGCCAGGATGTCCTGCCCCAGCCCTGCAGGTGCTGGTGCCTAATTCTAGGATCAGAAAGCTTCTGGAAGCTCTGACCACACAGGTCATTTGCTGCTCCAAGGCCTGCAGGCTCTGAGTCTCCCCCCTAGCAGAGCTACCCTGCCCCATGCCTGAGGGCTCCTCCCTCCTCTGGCAGAGCCCTAGCCGGCAGCGAGAGCAGCTTAGAGACCAGGCTCGGTGTGGCGCCTTTGGTGCAGGGGCCGGGGCGGATTCAGCCCAGAGGATAGGAGGGGCTTGTGCACACCACACACGACGCTATCACGAGGGAGGTGACCTGAGCCAGTGGGGCCGTTGGTTCAGCCTCGAGCTGCTCGGCCACAGCAACTCAGGGCTCAGGGTCTGGTGCTCCCACACTGGACAGCACTGGCCCAGAAGACCCCGGGGAAGCCAGTGCAACCCCCCAAAATGAGGCAGGGCGGGTGGGAAGGCCGGTGTGACAAGACCAACCGGGGATGGCGCCGGCCGCCCAGCACCACCCCAGGGAGGCGAGCACCGTGGAGGGCTCTCGGGTGCACTCCTGCGCCCAGATCTGGGCTCCCAGCCCAGGCAGCAGCACCCGAGCTCACTAGGCTTCTCACAGGAAGTTCACCTGTGGCTCCGGGCTGAGGCTTCTGAGGATTTCGCCAACTCCACCACCAAAAGCTGGACACAAAACGAGTCGGGTTTTCTTCTAAAACGTTCAGTTCCTCAGACGTCCAGAGACAGCAGACAGGCCTCTGGCAACAGCCTGTCCCGCTCAAGGTCACTGGGCTGCTCTGAAGGACATCCCCCTTGTCCTTGCACAGGAGCCAGGGAACCTCCACAAGACACTTTCTGAGGAATCCTGTGTCGCTCATTCCAAACTGTCTTCTGGTCGAACGAGACTAACTGGGAAAATACCCTCGACACCAGCAGCAGCGTGTGGTGAGCGAGGGAAGAGGTGAGAGGCGGAAGGGGTGCAGGGCTCATCAGCGGTGATGGAAGGGAGTGACTGGGGACGCTGAGCACAACACATGTACAGGTGATGTACGAAGAAGTGCACCCCTGAACCTACCTGATTGTATAACCGTGTCACCCCAACAAAGACACTCAAGAAACGGTGACTTTCTGCTCCTTTCCTGCACACACCTGTCCTTAGCGTGACCACCAGACTCCCCCTCCCCGGTCTGAGGGTGTCCCCCATCTATTTAAGGGCCCCACACTCATCTGCTGGTGGGATTCAGTCCTCCGGAGCCCAGGCAGGCCCCCTCAGGCCGCTGACAAGTTCTCACTGCCATCCGCCATGTCTGCGGGGCAGGCTCCCTCTGTGGACCCGTGGCCTCAGGTCAAGGCACCCCCCCTCCAACGCCCCCCCCCTGCACCCCTTCCCAGCACCACAGATGACTGTTCCAAAACGTGACAAATTTTACTTGTTTGTTGTTGTTAATACCCTTAAAAAAAGGAATAAGCCTCAAGCAATCACTCCATCAACACGTTAAAAAAATAAGTTTAATGCAGGTGGCTCGTTTCATAAAGAATTCACAGGCACTCGAGACCCCAGGCAACTACTTGTTGGGCGTGTCAACTCCTAGCACTGCCGCGCAGACACCCGCCATCCCGATGGTGTGCACACACCTGCCTCAGTCAGGGGACTTCGAAGGGACTGAGCAGCGTGACTTAAAACACAAAACAAAGCTTGTAGGAAACAGCATGACTTAGTGCAAAAGATGCTCCACAGGGCTGAGGGGTCCCCGAGGGTCAGCTCCTCGGCTCCTTCCTCCGGGAGCCCCCCACTGGCCTCAGGCTGGCCCCCTGAGGCCAAAAACTGAGGGGAATGGTCACAGCCAAGTGCTTTTTGCTTTCTCCACCTGATTTGGGGTTCCTTCCAGTGGCACTTAACTGTCCTGACAGTCCCCCTGGGGCCACTGGCCTCCCTGGCCAGGCAGGGTCAAAGGGGCCACTGCCAGGAAGATAAGGGGGCAACTTGGGGTGAAGCAGCATCGGCCCCATGTCCTGTCCCTTCTCTGCCTGTTGTCCCAGCAGAATTATTGAGTGCCCGCCCACTGGCCAAGGAGGCCCGCGTTGGCCACTGAGCGACATGGCCGGCCTGCCCCCTCGCTGCGGAAGGCCAGAGGAAGGGTGCCAGGAGCTGGCTCTGGAGTGCGTTCTCTGTGACCGAAACAAGTCGCCCAGGACCGCCGGCCCTGGTTCCCGGCCACAGTCCCTGCCGACATTCGTTTGCTCTCTGCTCCCAGCTGCTTGAACTGCCGGCAGGAGCAGAGGGCTGCCTCGCCCTCACCCAGAGATCCAGCCCTGGGCCACCTGACTCCAGGTGGAGCCTCAAACACTCACCGCCCAAGACCTCCAACATCTGCTCCAGACGCACGTCCCAATTCTGTGTTCTGACCAAAAGCAGCCCCAGAGCCAGAGAGACTGAGGAGTCTCCTCAGAAACCCACGTGTGAAGGGGCTGGCACTCCCCGACCTGCCCAGAAGACGGATCTGCCCCGGGCCAGACCATCTCGCAGCTGCCAGGGCCTGACTCCCTGCTGGACGGCGCCTGCACAACAAGGGGACCCTGAGGGCTGGCCGGGGCTCAGGCCCACGGTGGCCACTGAACATGGCCACCTCTCAGGGAGCCTAGGGGCGGCCCTGTGGCAGTGTGGTGGACGGAGTCTGATGCTTCCCAAGGCCAAGGCCAGGGCTGGGGCTGGGCCAGGAAGACCCCCCCAGACTGGCTCCTGGGCAGCACACCCCTACACCACCGGGACACCAGTGTCCCGGGGTGGGGGGTGGGGGCAGGGGCCAGAGGCTCTCCAAGCACAGACTGATGGTACCTGCCCCCAAGCACTGCCTGGAAAAGTGTGGGCTGGATCCACGGGGGTGGCCACGGGTCAGTGCCCCGGAACACACACACAGGAGGGTCAGTGGATTAGAGGGGGCAGCGTCCGTGCACAGAAATCACAGCCCATTCCTCTCTGGGGCAGAGACCCGGCTACTGGACGCAGCGTGAAAGACAAGGCCCCGACCTACCCCGTCAAACAGCGCCGGCGCAAGCATCGGCCCTGCTGGTCACAGTGACCCAGCCGGCCCAGGCCGCGCGCTCACATGTCCACGAAGACCATGAAGCACCAGCCCAGGCCGCCCACCAGCAGCAGGGTCACGTGGATGCCGTAGACCAGAAGCTCGTTGAGCAGGCGGAAGTCCACGCGCCGGCGGCCCAGCAGCAGCAGCAGCACCGACAGCTTGAGCTGGAAGCGCAGCAGGACGCGCACGCCCAGGTACTGCAGGCAGAAGAGCGCGGCCAGCGCGCCCCACAGCGCGGCCGTGAAGAGGCTGCAGCTGAAGTAGAGCAGGAAGCGGATGAAGCCGTAGAGCCAGCGCGCGCGCACGTACACGTCGAAGTTGTTGTACTTGGTGCGCGCCAGGCGGGAGGTGCGGAGGGGCCCGGAGGCCGCGTGCAGGCAGGTGGTGTGCGGGCCGTGGAAGGAGCGCACCCGCCGCGGGATGGGCATGACCGGCATCGGGGCCTCGGCGCTAGCTGGCGGCAGACGCAGCGTCCAGGCGGTGGTCAGCGTCATGGGCAGCTAGGCCTGCGAGCCTGCAGCGGGGGAGCCGTGAGCCTGCAGGGAGCGACACGCAGAGGAGCCGAGTGAGCCCTGGAGCAGCCAGCGAGGGGGCCGTTCCTGCAGGGCATCTGCCAGTCTTGGGCGCAGGGAAGCCAAGCTCAGGGGGCCGGACCTGCCACAAACGCCAATGAGGACACTCCAAAGGGACCCACAAGCACGTGGAAACCAAAGTGCTGATTTGACCAGTGACTGGGGAGTGGGGGGGGGGGGGCAGGGTGACAGTTGGGACGCCTGGAGGCCGTCAGCCCTGAACCTGTGGAGGGACAACAGGAGCCCTGGCGAAGCCCCCCTTCCACAGGTTCTGCCGATCCGTTCCCTAGACTCACCCTCTCGCTTTCATCTGGGGGCCGAGCACGGCCTGGACTTGAGCCCCTTTCATGCAGGGGGAATGAAGTCCCTCAGTGGCACCCCACAGGACCAGGAGGAGGGAGGGGCACCCCACAGGACCAGGAGGAGGGAGGGGTGCCCCAGGCACACACGGAGCAGTTCACTTCAGCACCCTGACACCCAGGTGCTGGGAGCTAGACAGCTCTGCAAAGTCTAGGAGGTGCGGTGGGAAGCGGGAGCACTAAGGACCCACCATGCCTGGCAGGTGACGGCAACCGCCTGCTGGTGTGTCTGCAGGATGCAGGGCGTGCAGACCAGCCTCGAGGACAGAGAAGCAGCAGTGGCTCCAGGTTACGCGGTCCCTGCCTACATCTGTGGATGTGACTGCCATTTGAGGCTGCCTACATCTGTGGATGGAAACAGAGCTGGAAGGGCAGAATGTGCACAGGTTGCCGGGAAGCACCAGGGGCGGCTGTCTGCCATCAGGGGGGCGGAATCTGCAGCCTGTGGGGGACCTCCCCAAGTGCCCTCTCCGGCCAGCAGTCCCAGCAAATGGCCGCCGAGCTGTCTGGCCGGAGGCGGAGGAGTGGGAAGGCCTGCATCCCGCCCCCGCCGGCCCCACAGGCCCAGCCCTCCCCGCAGGGTTTGTCCCGGACCCGGTCTAACAGCAGCTGCCCCGCTCCCGGCGGCTCCATCCAGCTACCCCTCGGCCTCGGCCGCCCCCCAGGCCCGGCGATCAGAGCCGGTGCCCCGGTCCGGAGGGTCACGCACAGCCGCCCCTAGGGGACCGGCCCACCTCCCGTCTCCACTGGGCCCGCGGGCAAAGCAGCTCCGGGGGCCCGGAGAGCCCACGCCTCGGGCCTGGAGGTCGGGGAGGCGACCGAGGCCGCGCGCGGAGCCGCCGCGCAACCGCTCCATCCCGCCGACCGCCCTGGGCCCCCTCTTCCGGGCGCTCAGCCGCGCCGGTGACCCGACTCCCGGATCAACGCCTGCCGGACGTGAGCGGCTCTGCCCTCGGGCCGCCGGGGGGCACCGGCGACTGCGAGGGCAGGACCGACGCGCCGGGGCCCCCGGGAGCCACCCGCGCCCGCCCGTTGCCCTGGAGACGCCGGGCCGCCCGCCATGCCGCTCACCGGGCGCCCTCTCCGCGCCGGCGTCCCGGCCTGCGGGCCCCGCGGTCCCTCGGGGCTCCCGGCGCAGGGCCGCCGCATGGTGCCCCGCACCGTGGCTGCGGGCCCGGCGGCTCACGCGTCCCCTCCCGCCCCGGAGGGTCCGGGCTCCCGCGCCCGGCGGCGATTGGCACCGCGCGGGAGCCGTAGCTGCCCCTCGCGGCCGCCGTAGCGCTGCCCTCGCGCCCTCCGCCCCCTCCACACCGCGCGCGCCTCTGGCCCCCAGCTCGGGGCGGACGTCCGCGGCGCGGGGCGCGCTCCATGACGTTACCAGCGACGTCGCCGCCTCGCGTCAGCCGCTGGCGCAGCTCCCTCCGGCTCGCTGTCCCCGCGCCGCTCCTCTGCGCACGCGCTGCTGCGACCGACGCACCAGCTGTGCGCAGGCGCCGGCCCCAGTGGGCGGGGCTGGGAGCCGCGCTGCTTGAAGGGGCGGGGCCGACGCTGGCCCGCGGTCTGCGTCCCTAGCACCGGGGAACCCGAGGCTGGTGGGGAACACCCACACGCTCTGGGGTTTCCCCTCTCCTAGGAGAAAGGATTTTTATGCAGATTTTTAAAAAATATATTTTATTGATTTTGTACAGAGAGGAAGGGAGAGAGATAGAGAGTTAGAAACATCGATGAGAGAGAGTCATCGATCATCTGCCTCTTGCACACCCCCTACAGGGGATATGCCCGCAACCAAGGTACATGCCCTTGACTGGAATCGAACCCGGGACCTTTCAGTCCCCAAGCCGACGCTCTATCCATTGAGCCAAACCGGTTTCGGCTGCAGATTTTTTTTAAATATACATTTTTATTGATTTTATAGAGGAAGGAAGAGGGAGAAACCGAGGATGAGAATCATGGATCGGCTGCCTCCTGCACGCCGGCTCCTGGGGATCGCGCCCACAACCAGGGCAAGTGCCCCGACATGGAATCAAATCGTGACCTCCCTGGTTCATAGGTGGACGCTCAACCACTGAGCCACACAGGCTAGGCTCCGCAGACATTTTTAAAAATGTATTAACCCCTCAGAGGTGTCAGGAGAGGGAGACACTTCTCCTTGGATGGAGTCAGCAAGTGACATTCGCCTGAATTCCATCAAGTTCAAAGACGGTGCAAGACCCACACCCTTGGGAGCTAAGTGCCTGCCTGTCACCTGGCTGAGTCCTCACGCCCAGCCCATCGTGTCAGAAGGACCCGGTGTTGAAGGGTCTGGCAGGGTCGGAGGAGAGGGAGAGAAGGAGGGAGGATCGAGAAGACTGAAGCCCAAAGCAGCTGTGCAGCAGCCACAGGAGAGGCTGAGAAAGAAGGAGCCTCCGGCAGGGTTTCTTAAAGCGCACTCTCTGCAGGTGGGGCTCACCTGCTCTGCTCCCCCACTTGCCCGTGGTGATTTCCTGCCCTCAGCCCCGGCCCAGCCCTCTCCTCTTGAGACGCCCCAGGCAGCCCCTCCTCAGCCCTCTTGTTCTGGTCCCTGAGCTGCCCCTGCACACTTGCCTTTATTGCAATCACCCGCTCCACCTGCAGAGCTCCTATTCAACCGTCAAAACCTGAATCAAATAACCCTTCCTGGGAAGCCACCTCCCACCCCCTGCCACCCCTTCTGGCCCCCACTACCCCTGGCAGGCAGGATTCTTACTCAGCCCGACTTTCTCCACCCCAAAGCTGCAAAGAATCCCACTCTCCCACCAGCTGCCCTCTCACCACAGTAAGGTGTGTTTCTGCCACACCATCCAGCCCACACGTGCACGTGTTCAAACAACTCTGGGAGCCCCACAAACAATGCTCTGACCACACGCTGAGAAGCCAGGATGGCTGCCTGCAGCCTGCCCACCGCCCCTCAGGAGGACTCTGGGCAGGACTGTGTCCTTGAACAGGCTCAGGGACAGGGGACGTGCTGTGTTTGGTTGTAGGCTTGCCCTGGTTTGGAGGTCCCCTGCCCCAGGTCAGCACCAGGCCTGCCCAGGCCTCCCTCTGGCAGGGGCCTGGCGCCACCTGCTGGGACAACATGAGCAGTGCGGCTGAGTTAGAGTGGGGCTCAGAGTCTGGGGGTCAGGAGGGCGCCCCAGCTGTCCGCCGCCCGCGGCCGAACTGAGTCTCCCTGATACAGAGACCCAACGGTCTGCAGGTCCGCAAACCTGGTCCTGGTCTTTCAGGGACATGTATTTATTTATTTTTTTTATTTTTATTTTTAATATATTTTATTGATTTTTCACAGAGAGGAAGAGAGAGGGACAGAGAGTTAGAAACATCAATGAGAGGGAATCATCGATCAGCTGCTTCTTGCACACCCCCTACTGGAGATGTGCCCGCAACCAAGGTATATGCCCTTGACTGGAATCGAACCCAGGACCTTTCAGTCCGCAAGCCAAAGCTCTATCCACTGAGCCAAACCGGTTTCAGCTCAGGGACATGTATTGACTAGCTCTAAAGGACGTTTATCCTTGCTGTGCCCAGCGCCTCTGTAACGGCCCTGCAGACACCTTGAGAATCGGAGATTTCTCCCTTGGCTCTGGGCTGCCTTACTGGCCAGATCCTGAGGCTCCAGGGACCCCATGATTTCCTGGGGTGGGGTCACAGGCAGCTGTACAGCATCCACTTCCCTCAGCACCCAGCTGCTGTGCTGGGGTAGGGGGGGGCATGAAGAGGCTCCAGTGCTTGGCCTGGCTGAAGCCAGCCTTTAGGTGTTTGGTGCCAGCATCGGGCCTGTGAGTGAAGGAGACCCCAGCCCACACCCTGAGGGTTGTGGGTTCAATTCCCGGTCTAAGAGGTGTACCTGGGTGGCAGGCTTGATGCCAGTTCTGGCGGGAGACAACCAATCAAGGTGTCTCACATTGATGTTTCTCTCTCCTCCTCCCTCCCGGCCCTTCCACTCTCTCTAAAAATCAATGGAAAAAACGCCCTGGGGTGAGGATTAACAAACATTTAAAAAAAAAAAAAAAGGAGGAGGAGGCCTGGGCTTTGGAGAGCAATGGGCACAGCATGGCATCTCCAAGTGACGTCCCTGGCATTGACCACCCAGTTTCCGTCTCAGCCCCACACACAGCCTGTGCCCAGGGCGGGAGGCCAGGCGCTGGGCAGCAGACCTGAGCGACGCCGGGGGCTGTGCAGGGCAGCCGAGTTAGCGCTCGCAGTTCATAGTTTGCCCCCATTTCGGAAGCATGCCCCTCACCCGTCCCCAAGCTCCCCCTGGCGAAGCGTGCAGCCTTCTCTGTGCGGGCAGAGCGGCCCCGCCTGGCACAGGCACCGGAGGAGGCCACACCGCCCGCCTCGCAGCGGCTCTGCCCTCCTCCCAGGCCACAGGCCCCTCGTTATCCTGAGACCCAGACCAGGCCATGAGGGGCCCCGGGAGGCTTCCTTCGAGGATGGCGCCCACTGCCCGGCCTGTGCTACCGTCACAGAACACACTCCTCCGCCGTCCCCCGGGGACTGGGCAGCGCTGGGCGGACGGGAGGGCAGCTCTGTGGCCCAGCTGTCGCCCGGTGTGGCGATCTGTCAGCTCCCAGGAACCTGGCAGATATAGTTTACCGCAGGCTAGGAAGACAGACATACCCATTTATATGTTGCTTGTTGACATAACCCTGCGAACCTGTTCTCCTTTCAAAACTTTTAATGGATTGTACACATTGTGGGAGAGTTAAGGGGTAAATGCCATGGCTCAAAATGTTACTTTTAACATCTTTGTCACTTTGATAACGGCACCAAAAATAAAAAAAAATCTGCAAGACATTACCCTCAGAAATCAATTATAAATAGATGCATCTTAAAAGAGGTTTATTTTGGTCATTAATGGTTGATGGGCCCCCCAGCTCAGGATTTAAAGTTAAATTATGCAAAATCAAAAACCAACCTTATAATACGTAATCAAACATGCATAAAACTGTCAGACCCAAGTAAATTCTCTCAATTAACTTGCTTCAGACTGTGATTGCATCCACTAATCTAATCAGCCCAGAGCGATGTGAAGGTGGGGAGATGGATGACAGGTGGATAGATGGCCATGAGGGCGAACCCCAGGGGAGCAGGCGCAGCACACCCCCACCCCACCCACCCGCAGAGAGCATGGGGCAGGACCTTGGAGGGTGGAGGGTGGGCCCACGTTCACCGGGTGGGCTTGGAGGCAGCGCCTACCAGCCAGGCACCATCTGCACGCCTCGTAGGCTGGCTGTCCTGGGCACAGGCCACCTTCCTCTCGTCCCCTGGATGGGCCAGGCCTGGAGTCGCCCTGGTCTGTGGGCTCCGGAAGCCCAGGTGCTCACCTCAGCTGCAAGCTTGGGCTCCCTCTGTCTTTTCCAGAACAATGCGAACAAAATGGGCTGGGATAGCTCATTCTCACCCACAGCTCCCCACAGAGCCCCAGGGGCTTCCCCCAGCACAGGGCCCCCCCCCCGCACAGGGCGCCCCCTAGCACAGGGCGCCCCCTAGCGCAGGGCTCCCCCCCAGCACAGGGCTCCCCCCAGCACAGGGCCCCCCAGCACAGGGCTCCCCCCAGCACAGGGTCCCCCCCAGCACAGGGCCCCCCCAGCACAGGGTCCCCCCCAGCACAGGGTTCCCCCCAGCACAGGGTTCCCCCCAGCACAGGGCGCCCCCCAGCACAGGCCCCCCCAGCACAGGGGGTGGACTCCGCTGAGGGCCGAGGGGCACCGGACCCAGCTCCACGTGGGAACAACCAGGGTCCCGCCCAGCACCCCCTCTTCCTCCGCCCCCCAGGCCCCGCTCTGCCTGCTGTGCGCGCAGCGGCCGGCAGGGGCGCCCTGGGTCACCGAACGTCCGGGGACTGCGCGGGGGCCGGCGGCCAGCACCTGGCCCCGCTCCCCTCTCCCTCCCCGGGGGCCCGGGCGGCCGCCCCTTTCTCCGTCTGTTTCCTCCCGGAGCCGGCGGAGCGGTGATGGGCGCTGGCTCCGGGGCGTCAGCAGGACGGGCTGCGTGGGTGCGTGGGCGCGCGAGCAGGGGGCCTCGAGCAGCTCCGCCCGCGGGCGCTAGGGGGCGACCAAGCCCTTTCCCGCGGTTCCTTCGATCCGGTGGCGGTGGGGACAGGCCTTCCTCTGCAGCCCCTGCTCCCAGCGCTGAGACCCCCCCTCCCCACGGAATCAGGGGCGCCATGGGGCGGCCAGGAGGGCCAGGGTTCGCCCTGTGCAGACGAGGGGACGCAGGCTAGGGGTGAAGGACCCGCACCCTCCACCATGGCGGGCAGCCAGGCTCCCTTGCAGGG